TGATTTATTGTAGAGATGAGGTCTCACCAAGTTGCCCAGGCTGGTCTTGAACCTCTGGACTCAGGCAATCCTCTCGCCTCTGCTTCCCAAAGTGATGGTATTACAGGTTTGAGCCACTGAGCCCAACTAACTCGACAGTTTTTCTTTTTGAGAAATTTGCCTATGGCAGGTCTTTCTGACATGAATCTTTCTTTTTCCTTCTCTTCTTCTTGCTAATAAACTGTTTTAAAACTTTAAAAAAAATTGTTACTTGAACATTGTAAAAACAAAATAACAACTGACTACGTGGACATTAAAGATATAAGAAAGATCCAATCAAACTTCTATAAATGAAGTCATGAGATGAAAAACACACTGAGATAAGACAATAGATTAGCCATAGCAGGAAAAAACACTAGTGAACTTATAAACAGCAATATAAATAATCTAAAATAAAATTTTTGAAAACTTTAAACAAAAAAATGAAGTCAATACATCTGTGAGCTGTGGGTCAATTTCTAGAAGCGTCTGTGTAAGTGGAATCCCTAACAGAGTGAAGGGAGAAAATAGAAATATTGAAAAAGACAATGACTGAAAAAATTCCAAATTTGATGAAAACAACAGATCCAAAAAACTCAGTGAACCCCAAGCATAAGAACCAAAACTGCTTCATAGCATACCATAATCAATTTCTCAAAACCAGTGACAAAGAAAAATCCTAAAGGCAGAAGCAAGACAGAGGAACAACAGATAAAGACGTCAATCTGTCACAGGACGCCATGCAAATGAGAAGGCAGAGGATCAACATCCTTCAAGTATGGGAAGCACAGTGTCAAGCCCAATGGAAATCTTTCAAAAACAAAGGCAGTTTATACCAATTATGTGTAAGGGACACAGACACGCACAGATTTTTGCATTTCAAAATACTAATTAGAAGGCAAACACAAAAACTGAAATAATCCATCAACAACAGCTGTTACCAGCAAGTTAACAAATCATAAATATTCATAACTAGAAACGTTAAAGCACATCCTTCAGGTAGAAGAAAAATACCAGTAGGAACATATTATCTGCACAAATAACAAAGAGCACAGGAAATGGTCACTACATGAGTAAATACATAGGATCTCTCATCATCTGAAAAACTTTTTTTGAACTTTATTCATATCAAAATAGCAACCTAACGTTTTAGGAAGACATTAAGTTTGGCACAAAGCTCCATAATATTTATCAAACTGGACCACATATATGGACTAATATGAAACCAAAAGTTCATAATTTCTTTAAATTTTGTTGAGACAGGGTCTCACTATGTTACCTAGGCTGATCTCAAACTCCTGGCCTCAAGCAATCCTCCTACCTCAGCCTCCTGAGTAGCCGGGAGTCACAGTGCCCATGATTTATCTCTAAGGCAAATTAAGTCCACCCCCATAAGTTTTAAGGCTTACAGAGGAGCATAAATTCTCTCTTCTTAGTCTAAGACTGGTGATTTAATATAGGATTTTGTCCAGAACAGATCAATAGAACCATAGATTTTTTATGCCAGTGTGTGGGTTGGTAGTATATATTAGTAACAAGTATCTCTAAATAGAAGCTCAATTTTACTTTACATGCTATATGAACTAAAAAGGTAGAAAGATACAAACAAGCTTTCAGATAGATAAAAACAAGACAGTATTCTTCTCACAAATTCTTGGTAGAACAGAGCATAATTCCAGCAGTTTGTGAAGACCAACTTGCATGTCACTCCCAGGCAGACCAAGGCCCCCTCCAGCCATCACCCCAAGGGTCTGTCCTCCACAGCAGTTACTATTTGCTGATCTAGAGGAGCAATGACAACTGAGTAGAAAATCCACCCCCAATTGGACTGATAAGGTAACCCACTAGCATTAAGTTTCATAATCAAAATGCAACAATACCTCAGTCAATAAAAAACAATTCGTTCAATAAACATGTAGATTTATTTGAAATCAGTTTGGTGTGTGATACAGATTGGTTTTGCAGTTTTTAATGAACTGAAATAGAAATTTCTAAATACAGCAGTGTCTGCCTGTGCAACAAATATCTGTAAGGTAAAATAAGGTATTTGATAGACGTACATCTGCATGAACAAATCAGATGAAAAATCTGAAAAGGTTTCTATATACCTTCTGGATTAAAAAACCCAAAAATTATTAATGGCTCAAGATACTACATCGTTAAAGGAAGGGGGGAAAGAGTGAAAAGGCTGTGAGTTCTGTTGTAAGAGCTCATCTGTAGACTTGCAAAATCTAATTTTATATTATGCTTTTGTTGTTAAGAGCAGTGCTCAAAATTACAGAAGCTTCAAATCAACTTACATTTTCACAAAATTTGCTACGTGTTGACGTTAATGTGTGGCAAGGAATTCATACCAGGTAAATGACAATTACACAGTTGTAGCTAATTTTTGCCACCTGGGGAGAAATGGAAATTCAGTGTATTTTCAACTGATCTTTACAGCACTCACTAAAAACTAACAGCCATGGCACCATAAATTTTGTGAGGTACCTAAAGTATTACTACTAATGGAAACACAAAGATGTGAGGTAAACCTACCTTTTCCCCAAAACCTTTGAAGCCAGAGATTTTAAACAATTAAGGCACTTGAAAACATTAGGTGTATGTACAAATGTGCAAGTAAAACAAACTTGAGCTGTACCAGCAAGTAACAAAGAAACAGTACATCTTCATTTTGAGAACCTTTAATATCGTTATCTAAATGCAAGGAGTTTCAGTTTATGAAACAAAGCAATTTGTCACTTCCTACTATAAAATATATACTAAAGAAAGTAAAACAAAAAAACTTTAATGACTTAGAAAAGAAAAAGCCCACTGTAAACTAATTAAAGCCTCTGAAGTAATCCAATGTGTCAAAGGCAAGAAAGAACCAACCCTCTAAAACTGAAAAAAAGCTAGTGCTTTAAAAGAAAACTATAAAGGTATGTATGCTGACTATACTATAGGAATTGAAACCAAGAATGGGGAGAGGAGAAAGAAAAAGAGAAAGCACAGTCTATTTATCCAGGGCAATCATCATTCAAAATCTACAGTAATCTGATCAACCAAAAATTCTTAGGTTTTCTGAAATTACATTGGTCACATATGACATTTGAAAACGTAAAACGATTGTCTCATTTAAATAGTAAATGATTCTAAAACAACTTATGTCCTTCTTGCCTCATGAAAGAAGTTACTTTTTTAAAAAGCTGGGTGGAAATTTTTTCAAGGTACAATAGTGTTAGGATATCTTTTTGAAGTACAAAGGCAAATATAATTAAATTGATTTTATCACTATACTTTTCAACAGCCATAAGAAAAATGTTGGGAGGTTCAATATATGAAGGCTTTCAATTTTGTATAATATTCTTTAGCATTAAGCTTCTCAGCTCTGAAATAAAGTAGATAAATTTTCAATTAAATATTAACAGTATGACCTCTAAAAAGCAGCTCTCCGACTGCTCACATCAACATTACACCCTCAGACCAATCCATGCTCCTTCTTGTGAGAGAACAAATCACAGCACTCAGCTGCAGCCTACCTTCCACTCTGTCTTTTAAGGCACAATTCTTTATTTTCTCATGACAAAAGGTGCTTTACAAGTATGAACAATAACCTGTTATACATTAATGATTTGTATCCTTTCCATTAATTTCTTTGAATCTGGAATGTAACTTCCCTGTGTGGCATCTTATTTCTAATGTAGAAAAAAATAACTGTTATTAAGCAGAAAATTTTACTCTAAGGATAGTTTAGTACTACTAAATTTATAAATTTATTCTTTTTAAAATAATAGTCCCAAATCCACCTGATCAATACTCATTTGGCACACTCGTTTTAACTCTGTTCACTAAATTTCATCTTGAGTTTGGATGAAAATAATGCAGCTTTCAGGCTTGAAAATGACATTTAAACTGCCAACGTCATGACGCTGTCTGTACAAGACAACGTTTTCTATCACTTACAGGTTACATTTGGCATGTCAAGAAAAAAAAAACACAATCCCACAGCAGCAGCCATTTAAAATAAAAGAAGACAGCCACAAGGATTCATGCAGAATATTTCAAATACTCCTGTTGAACATAATGACTTAACTGGTTTTTCTTCAAGGATGAGGCCCCCAAATATCCTATTTGCATCCTCTGGAAATTTAAAGATCCTGGAATAGCGTCTCCCAGTGGGACATCCTGGAAGGGTGATTTTGGTTTCCGTGAGTTCCATGAATGAATCGCCAGTCCTTGTTAACTGAATGGGTCTGTTTACAGAGTGTGGTAATTTCGTTCTTTAGATTTGCAGAATTTATAAAGAAAGAAAATTACAGCCTGCACACCCAAGACAAGGACAATTCCTCCAATGAAACTGGCTGCATCAAAGGTAGACTTCCGCACAGGCTGTGAGGTTGGCGTCAAAGTGGTGTTTGGTGTACCTGTTAGATGAGATAGGAGAAACAATCCCCAGTCAGTCTCAGGATCCTCTACTGTAATCTCAAGACCCACCTGAGCTTCTGTTTTGCCATGTGTTAAGCTCTAAGATGTCCCTTCTACTGAGTTAAGTCTTTACTGCTAGAATTTATCCCTAATTGAGGAAGACAACATTCATCAACTCCATTTCTCATTCCATCCAAGGATATATAGTAGTAAATGCTGCTACACAACTTCAAATAAGAAAACAACAGAACCAGGTTCTCCTGGTATATAAATTATGCCCTGGGAATATATCGAGCCCTTTTAAAATATGCAATAACTTCGATCTATTTTTAGTTAATTGCTAGAATACTAATATTAGCATTTATATTGAAAATTCATGACTTTTGAATTTAACTAGATATTATTATATAATAGAAATATATAATAGAATAGAAAGAATTCTACTATAATTTTTCAAGTTTCAAAAATAATCTTAAGAATCTACAATGTATAATTTCAAGTAAAATAACTCGTCATTAAAGGCAAGCTCTGTCAACAAATTTTTCATTACGAGAAAATATTACCAAGTCAAGGAAAAAATAACACAAAAGTTTGAATTTCTTTTCAGGGATTATGTTTCAAGAAGAAATGAGGACACAATGAAAACAAACTAAAAAAGCACCATTCATTTTAAGAAAAAGCAGTTTCATATTTAAAATTAATGTTACTTTTTACTTAAGCATACTCTCAAGTGACCACTGGTTCTGATAGCTGTACACAAGCCAGCCAGCTTCAAAATTAACTACGACTGTTTTGCGTTCCCCCTTGTGAAGATAAAACGGCGTCACTGAAACTGAGAGAAAGGGAACTCAAGCATGAAGCCAAGAAATAACAAAAACATTCACATCAGCATCGAGACAAGTTTATGTTTTTTAACAAATGTTTTTAATAATAGAGATGGGGCCTTGTTATGTTGCCCAGGTTTGTCCAAACTCCGCCTCAAGTGATTCTCCTACCTCAGCCTCCCAAAATGCTAGTATTACAGGCCACCACACCTGGCCTAGACAGTTTTTCTTAAATATGGTGAGAGGAAAGGATTCCTAATCTGTGTACTTATGCTGTTTGTGACACAACCCACATATATCATTTCAATAACAATGTGTCAAATCATTGGCTAATAGCAAGTTAATTTTCACAAGCACTCTCAACAGTTACTGAGAAATGTTAAGAAACAGTAAGAAAGATGATGAGGATCTAGTAGAGATCCTGGTTTTTTGGACTTTTCTCAGTAAAAAAAGATGAATATAGTATCTTCACTCAAATTGCCATAGTCTAATACACCACACAACCAATCTCTAACAATGATCAGCAGCTACAAATCAGATTTCACATACAAGTTGTTCTGAAAAGGTTTAGGAAAACATTAGTACTTAATTCTCAAGTGTCAAGCCAAATGTGATTACACACTTAAAAACTACAAGAAAGGCCAGGTGTGGTGGCTCAGGCCTGTAATCCCCAAACTCTGGGAGGCTAAGGAGGAAGAATCACTAGAGCCCAGGAGTTCGAAACTAACCTGGGCACCACAGCAACACCTCGTCTCTACAAAATAATTAGCTGGGCATGGTGGCACACATTTGCAGTCCCAGCTGCTTGGGAGGCTGAGAAAGGAGGATCACTTAAGCCCAGGAGGCTGAAGCTGCAGTGAGCCATAACTGTCACTGCATCCTAGCCTGAGTGACAGAGTAAGACTCCAACTCAAAAAATTAAAAATAAAATAAAAACTAGAAGAGAACTCCAGCAAAGTTATCACTATTGCTCTATCAGTTTACTGGTTTGGTTTCCCCACATGTAAGAGTGAACTTCATTCCATAATCGTACACAAATAAAAATGGAAAATGACGGTATAAGTAATAAGAGGCAACATCATACACACATTGACATCACTGTTAGTTTAAAAAGCTTCAATTGGTCAGGCACAGTGGCTCACGCCTATAATTCCAGCACTTTCGGAGGCCAAGCTGAGAGGACTGCCTGAGCCCATGGGTTTGAGACCAGCCTGAGCAACTTGGTGAGACCTCATCTCTACAATAAATTTCAAAAAATAAAAAGTAAAAAAAATAAAAAGCTTCAATTACCTGTTGTAGGAACCGAGGTTGTAGAAGTTGTAGAAGGGGAAGGCAGAGTTGTGGTTTTAGCTGAAATGAAAACAAAACGTATTTAAAAACCTTAAATTTCTAGCTTCTCAACATCTTTTAAAAATAATGCTACCAACTTCAACATGCATTCCATTTTTTTAGAGACTAAAAGTCAAATTTCAGTTAATGGTTCACTAACATATCTACACATTCAAGAATACTGCATTTAAATGTATTTTAAAACAGCAATCATAAAATTTATCTGTTAATATCTATGAATAAAATTTACATATACACCTGGATAAAATTTGCAAGAACTTCATTATGCCTCATTTCTACAAACCCCCCGCCCCAAAAAAACAGCAAAGCATAGTGGCATATGCCTGTTAGTCCGAGCTACTCAGGAAGCTGACATGGGAGTAATAGTTGAGCCCCGGAGGTCAAGAATGCAAGTAAGCCATGATCGTGCCACTGCACTCCAGCCTGGTCAACAGAGTGAAACCCAGACTCAAATAACATAAAATAAAAGTCCAAGGATAAACGCTAATCTACCACATGCACGAGACCAAAATACTATTCAATGATTCCTCTAAAGAATGCAAACTGAGAATCAGTTTGATTTCAAAATCATTTTGGGAACTGAAACACTCTTATTAAGGGAATATCAAACTATCAGTGTATATTATAAGGTGTCATCTATAAGAGTTCTCATGCAGTATTAGAAAAAAAGGACCTGAATATAGTTTATACAAATTAGCATTTTCCCTACCATCCAAACAGCTATTAAATTAATTCAGTTTGCTAGAGCATTTCAAGGTTTTATTAAGAGACTATCCAAGTCAGGATTCAAATTTTTAGAGAGGGTGCTACAGGAGTCCCTGGCTAACAGTGTTCCTTATGTGTCCCAGGAAATAATTAAGTTAGTCAGGCCTCATGATGCAGAGGCTTCCCAGGAGGATCTGCTTACTCTGGTGGGCAGCTAGGAATAATTTAGGGGGAGATGAGGAAGAGTAATCACATGAGGTTTTTATGAAAAATAGAAGGTGCTTTCCAATGCTCAAAACAGTTTTTGAACTTGTCCATTCTGATGCTTTTTAGTGCTTCTGCCGTTTTTTTGTTTCACCTCTCCCACGTGGGCAAAATGTTTTCCTTTGAGGATTTTCATCCCGGGAAGAAAAAAAGTCAATTGGGGCCGGGTTCGGTGCCTCAGCCTGTAATCCCACGCCTTTGGGAAGCTGAGGTGAATGGATCGCCTGAGCCCGCGGGTTCGAGACCTGCCTGGGCAGCGAGACCTCATCTCTACAATAAATCAAAAAATCAGCCGGGCGTGGTAGTGCATGCTTGTAATTCCAGCTACTTGGAAGGCTGAGGCGGAAGGATCGCCGGAGCCCAGCAGGTCGAGGCTTTGGTGGCTGGGAGCAGCCACTGCACTCCTGTCTGGGTGACAGAGTGAGACTCCAACTCAAAAAAAAAAAAAAAATCAATCGGGGACAAGACTGGGAGAATAGGGAGGGTGAGGCATGGGGGTCATGCCATTTTTGATCAAAAACTGCTGAATGCTCAGTGCAGTGTGGTAAATCACCCATCATGAAAAGGGTTAACGCGCTGAATCTCCAAAAAAATTCACTGAAACAATGTAGCTTCTCACAACAACACTAGCTGCTACACAGATACCAATGGGTTCCTAGAATACTTACCTAGAGGGGGAAGCCTGTATTACAAAGGGCCCACCCTTCAAAAGATAATTCTGTTTTTTGGGGGGAGGTCCCCCTCATACAGCCCATGGAAAGAGACCACCTAAAGGTTTTTCAAGTAGTAAGTGTCAATCAACTGATGCATTTTCTGTAGCCAAGTCCTGGCTTCCCTTCACTCTATAGAACCAAAGACAGATAAAGCAAGACTGTTCACAGGGGGACCCAGGCTATAGCAAAACACAGAGAACTATATCAAGAGTAGACTCAAAGGAGAAACAAGTGGAAGCAAACCCACAATGGTTTTGGGGAAACTGTCTCCTCCTCTCTTTCTATTCACATCCCACCTTTGGGAGGTTTGTTTTCTTCCTACAACTGGGCTTTCAACAACCTTTAACAGCCTCCTTAGACTAATGGGTGCTGTTTACAAGCACAACATGACATTATCAGCTCAAAGTAAGTTTGCAGCATTTGTATTCTTCCACGGCATAAATATTTCCACTGGAGCCAATTTCATGTTACCAACATGGTATTACTGAACCCAGGCTCGGGAATAGCTGAGCACCATTGGCTATTACAAACTGGTCCAAGCCAGTGCCAATACACCACGTGTCCAAGTCTTTTTAAAGTAAATGCTTGTCCTCATTACAGCATCTGACTACTTTTTCCTTTGAAAAACTAGACCTACAACCACATACTGTTAGTTTCTTGCACGTACCTCTCAGGGCTTTCTTACTTCCATGCTACCCACTACACATGCCTTTCTACAAGTTCCAACACACTGTGTTTACTAATGCCTTTCAGTATTCCTGTAGCAGACAAAATGCTGGCTTACTTCTGTCCCTACCATCTAGCCTAGGACTTGTCCTGCTAAAGATACATTTAATATTGGTAAAATGTTAACTATTTATTCCTCCTATCAAATTAGTGAATTTTTAAAAGGAGATATTATCTAAGGCTGTTGAAGGGGGTGGTAAATACTTTTTAGTTGTTGACAAAAATGAAAATCATAAGTATTTCTGGAAAGTAATCAGTACAAGAGTCTTAAAATAATCACACTCTCTGACAGAGGAGTTATGTCTGAATCAATCCTATCAGACATAAATACAAATACAATTCCATAAAAGATGTTCACTTCATGGACAATGAGAGAGGACCTAACTGTTCAATCCAGAGCAGGGTGGGGCAAGTGTACAGCAAGGCTTCCAGCAAGAGGGGAAATGCAAAGGTGCAAATTTTATAAAAAGTGTGCTGATTTAAGGACATAGAAAAGACTGGAAGAAATTAATCACTGAAAACATTTTGGTGTACCTCTGAACATTGGGTATTACAATTTCTTTTAGGCTTCTGTATTTCCCAAGATTTCCACAAACTCCATAAAAAGGAGTTTGTAAACTTAATGTATAAAGCCTCAGCAAATCTGCTCAGATTCATGAATGTGAAACACTGGAGTTATGTGTCCCTGTCACAAACAGTACATAATGATGTAATTATTGTGACCCAAGACTTTAAACAAGTCTTTACTAATTTTTAAAAGTATACTAACAACTTTTAGATATTTAATTACAAAAACTATATGCATCAAGAAAACTTAAAACTACCAAAAGACAGAAGAAGAATCAATCTTCTTTAATTACCTGTAGAATTGGTTGGCATCGGAGTGGCAGTGGGCACTATTAAAAAACAAACAAACAACCATATATATAAAGCTGTCTAAAATATCACAATCTAGAATGCTATTTCCCAGCCTGCAATTATTTGAGCACAACCTTCACAATTTTTACAGCACTGAAATACTCCCTGCAGAAGAGTCTGACAGGTGCCCCGACCTAATCCCAGTCTCCTCGTTTTTAGAAATAGAACCACTGATTTTTAGAACGCCTCCCTTTCTCCAGGAAAAACATTTCCTGGTCTCCCATGCATCTAGGTAGCACGAGTAACTTCTAAGAAGCATCCTTGAAGTACAAACAGACTCTCTTATCCCTTCCTTTTTCTGCTGGCAGGAAAATCAATATGATGACTAGAACATGAGCACCCACCTTGGACAGTAAAGTCAAAGCTATTTTTGAGAAACTAAAGAGTAAAACCTTAAAGGAGCCTGAGCCCCTAATGGCTATACAACTGCTACAGCCAGAACTTCCTTTACATGAGAGAAGTAAATCTGCACATTGCAAAAGCCCTTGTAATCTGAGGGTTTATGTTCTTCACAACTGAAACTAATTCCAACTGGTACATCATCAAATAAGAAGTATTACTTGTTCAATTGTTCTTAAATCAATGTTTTAAAAAATGTTGTACTTAATCTTGTCTCTAAGCAATAATATCATAATATCACATTAAAATAACTATTACTATGTGCCAAATAAGGAGTGTAATTTTCCCATTAATTTATAATCTCATTAGCAAAACCAGTTGTTTCAACGAGGAATTTTAACACTTTGCTGGGCAAAGAGCAAAGGTTAAAGAACAGTCAAGTTTCTCAAATTAAAATATAGTACATGGATATAGACAAGGTTCATTTAGCTAAAAGCACAAACTATGCTGGAGACTAAATGTAAAAGTCACCAGCTCCATAGACCCCAAAGTGCTAGAACAAGGTTGTCCAGACCTATAAAGATGCAGATAGTCTAAACTGCAATGAATTCCTGGAAAAGTTTAAATTAAAAAAAAAAAAAAAGTAGGGGATGAAGCATCTCTAATTACAGCATTTCACAGAACTAAATCATTAGACCAAGCTTCAAAAGATCATTTTTAAAATCAATCAATGGGTGTACTATTCATATTTCTAGCAAGATGTGCATTATGGCAATGCCTCAAGCAAAACATCAAAATCGGGCTTTCTGAGGCAATGATCTACCTCACTTCTCTGTGACCAACTACCCAGCAGCCGATAGCAATACTTACCAGAACAGAACTCTGTCCTGTTCACCACATGACAACCACTAACTGTTGAATTATGTGAACAGTAGCTCTCATCTGTTATGGGGGAAAAAAAGAGAGAGACAGACATCATCAATCACTCATTTATATTATTTTGAGCTTTGCTACTAAGCTCTTAAAAAAAAACAAAAAGAACAAATGTTGTTACTCTTCTTTTCCTCAGGATCCCTCCAAATTTTATCCTTTGAAAGTTCACATGAATATAACCAACAGATAAATCTGAAACACTTAGATCTCAGAATTGTGGTACAACCACTGTACAATCAAGAGAGGCAGCCAGCCAGGTGCGATGGGTCACGCCTGTAGCCCCAGCACTTTTGAGAAGCAGAGGCAAGAGGAATGCCTGAGCCCACTGGTTTAAAACCAGCCACGTCAACTTGGGGAGACCTCATCCCTACAATAAATCAAAATATTAGCCGGGTGTGGTGGCACACGCCTGTGGTTCCAGCCACTTGGAAGGCTGAGGCAGAAGGATCACTTGAGCCCAGCAGGTCGAGGGTTGCGGAGACTGGGCGACAGAGAGAGATTCAGACTCAAAAAAAAAAAAAGAAAAAAGAAAAAAGAAAAAAGAGAAGCAGCCACAATCTACAAAAGAGGGAAGAGTCAGTAGAGACAAGTGACCAGGACCATTCAATGAAGGCTCTGTAAACGGAGAAAGTGCCCACAGCAGTAGAACCTCTGTTAGCGTTCACTGCTCTAGGCTTCTCTACTTAAAAACAGCTCTCCTAGGAAGGTATCTTGGTGCAAGAGTAAGGGAGTAGCCCTCCCCAACAAATCTTAAAGCAGAGCATGCAATCTCCAAATTTCACCAATGCCTATACACTGCCAGAAAGGAAGGGGCAGGCATATCCTTTAATTCCATTTTATAACTTAAACGAAAAGAGACACTTCTATAATAAAAAAGTTAACTTAGCTCCAAATGTAGCTACCTTACCTTAATCTTGAAAAGCTTTTTGAATTTTATTTAGTGATATAACTACTTAATTTTTCACAAAGACTAGAAAAATAAGTAGCTTTGGCTTTTCCTTTTCCTTTTTTTTTTTTGAGTTGGAGTCTCACTGTGTCACCCAGACTAGAGTGCAGTGGCCGCTCCCGGCCACCGCAGCCTCGACCTGCTGGGCTCCGGCGATCCTTCCACCTCAGCCTTCCAAGTAGCTGGAACTACAGGCATGTGCTACCATGCCCAGCTAATTTTTTTGATTTATCGTAGAGATGAGCTCTCACCAAGTTGCCCAGGCGGGTCGCAAACCCGCGGGCTCAGGCAATCCACTCACCTCGGCCTCCCAAGTGCTGGGATTTCAGGCTGAACCACTGAATCTGGCGGCTTTTTCTTTATTTAAAAAAAACAAAACAAAAACTAACCAAAGCCAAAAACTGATAGCCTAAAGAATCCAAGGGGGGGGAGGAAGACAAGAGATTTTCAGAGCATGTTAAGTAACTGGACCTTAAAGAGGTTTTGGATTTACAAAATAAACTGTGCACACTATCCCAAATGTCCTAGGTGATTTTCAAATGTTCAAGAATTAGAGTATCTGCATCCTCAAAATTGTAGTAGTCCCAAAGTTTCTTACCTTCTTTACATTCTATCCAAAAGCAGGTATTATTATTAACAGTGCTAGCATTGAAACAGGAAACGCAGCTGTTGCGGCCTTCACAGGTTTCTGGGGGCAGAGGAAGAGATGGATGAAGTGAGTCAATTGGTATCTCATTTGAGTGCACTACTTGCCTTTTTTGAACAACTAGCATTTTACATACAGTACCAGAATTACTAATTCATGGAAATGATAGCTGTACATGTTAGTTTACTAGGAAATTCCAATTCTTGCAACTTATGAAGCTGTAAATAAACTTATTAGAAAAACACGCTCATACCTCGTGGTACCTGTCTAAACATCAGGGACAACTATTTGAAAGATACCCCCAGCCACGCTTGGCTTCTCAAAGCATCCTTAAGACATAAAAATATTGGAAAGAATGCTGTGCTACACTGCACAGGGGAAATCACTGCCCCTACACTTCAGATAAAACACCGGACTTTTAATAATAATAGCTTTGTCAAAGGTTGAACCCAAGCTCCAATGATGTCCATTCTGCAAACGAGTGGATTTCCCAGGGGCTCTCGACCCACAGGACCCTCCACGACGGGAGGCAGCACCCGGGAGACCACGCTGACGTGAAATTCAACAAGCTAATACGGTGTTTGTCAACAGTTTATCCAAAAACAAGTACTCAGAGAGGCTGATGGACAAGCCAAAGCCAGGACGATGAGCGGACTCCGCTTCCTAGAGGCGCGACGCCCCAACAGACACCCTCCCTGCCGCCCAACAGCTCGCAGAGGCCTGCGCTCGGCCCCTCACCTCCCGGTGCTATTAGGACCGAGACGTGCATGGCGGCCGGAGAAGGGCTCACCAGAAAGAAACAGGCTCCTCGGGAGATGAGGACTAAAACGCGCGTCGTGCTCGCCCACGGCGTTGCAGAGCGAGTTGTGCGCCCCGCACTGAACTTACAGACCGCACCTCCGCAGCCACGATTTCCGGAAAGCGCAAAGGACCGCCTCGGCGTGCACTTCAACCACACACGGGCGGCTGTGGCGACATTTCCAAGCTTCTCTCTCTCACACGGCTCTGACACAAAAACTGCCGAGTAAGCCCGAGAAAGAACTATTCCGCCCCGTCATCTTAAAAGCCGTGGCGCCGCGCCTCTCGCATTGTGGGCAGCTCACGGACCTTCCATTCTAAAACTCCACCACGGCACCGTCCTGAAGCTAGCAGAAGCAAAACCCTGAACTGGCCGTGTGGTTTATTACATCAAACGTCTATACACGCTAAACCCGGAGAAGGCGCCATAGAACCACGTGAAACCTCGCTCAAGGCACGAATGCTCGGCGATCCTGGGGTCACGAGGCCCGGTGACCCTCGCCGGTGTCACCTGGAAGCTGCCAACACCTCGTGACCTCCGTGCCTCAGTTTCTTCCCCCGTGCTGTCACGGATACGCCGATTTCTGCTCTGGCCAGCTCTGCCAGAGCTCTGGCCGTGCCTGCCCTGGCCAGCTCTCCTGGATCACAGAACGCGAAAGGTTGAGAAAGTCCCCAGATCCGGGTCGGGAAAGCGCCTCGGCCTGCGGCTCCCTCCGAGGGGCCACCACCCATCTCCCCGTGTAGCCTCGAGGACTCGAAGCAACCCACGCGCAGCCCGAGGCGCCCCCACGCGTGGGTCCTTCCGGTCCCGGGGCAAAGCCTTCACTTGGGTCGTGCTCGAAACGCAGAGGCGTCCTCTGCCCACCTGCAGTCAATGTCACCACATCTCAGGCGACTTCACCTCCTCAGACTCGAGTCTGGGATCGACACGACCAGAGACGCCTCTAAGTTTCCATTTCTCCAACCTCCGGAGAAAGACACCCCCGGGGAGACGCCCCGAGGGGCTGGACGCTCAGCCCCGTCGGCAGTCGGGTCTCGCCCCGTCACCCACGGCGGCCAGCGCGCGCGGAAGCCACGTCCCCGCTCCCGAGCCGAAATGGAGTCCGGGGATTACGAGGCCCCTTCCGGAGACACCTGGACGCGCGGCGCTCGGGGCCGGAGCCAGCTCCTCCGCCGCGGGGCCCGCCCG